ATGCACCAGCACACGTAAAAAGGTGTCTTATTAATTACTCCTTCATTACATGCAAAATATCTGCAAATTCTTTTTATCATAAATAAAAAGAAAACAGGCTACTGCATTCCTCATGCAAATGACTAGCATTAGTGTATCTGCGAGGAAATTGTGTCACTGTTATACTAAGTAGGTAAAAAAATTATTTACAAAAAAATAGTAATTGTCTTTAAAAGTACCATTAGTTCAATGGTAAATCCAAAATTATCACACATTTCAAAGAATTAACCATCAAATGTAATGGTTATACTATACACCACACTTTTTGTTCACAAAATAGAGTAGAAAACACCTGTTCAATGTCATTATAAAAAGTTTTCTGTCACAAAAATAGAGTACAGAAATACCCCCAAAATGTTGAAAAAAATGCTCCTAAACCATTTACAATTATTTACCATCAGCAAGGGTACATATCCAAATTAATGAATGCGTGAATAAACAAATATAAGCACAACATGAGATAGGTGGAGAAATGCACAAAAAATGAATAAATAAATAAATTCCTGCAGTAGTATATCTGATGCAACATTTTGATTATATAGTTTCTCTCAGAATTCAAAATGTTGAACGATACATTCTGGTCAGAGAAATTTATTTAATTCCAGTAATTTCATTCACACAAATGTCAAAGGCTCATGGCCAAAAAAGCGCAGAAAAAATCTTCACTGTTATATACAACCCTAAAACCTTTGCATAACTGCTTTGGCTTGCACAGGTGTGTACTTGATTTTTTTTTTTTTTTTTTTTACTAAAAACTCAACAGCAAATCTGCCTCTCAACTTCTCAGAGCCTGAGCAAAAATCTAGCAATAATAAAAAAAATGAAATTAAAAATAAAATAAAAAAAAAATCCCAATATCATTACTCACTTTGCACACACACACACACACACACACACACACACACACACACACACACACACACACACACACACACACACACACACACACACACACACACACACACACACAAATATAAACAAAGGAAGAATTGAAATTCAATTATACTTATAAACAAAAAAAGTGCAGGAGAAAAAGTCAGAATTTACTTTAAAAGACTAGAAAAAAGAATCAACTACCATTACAGTATCATACTGTATATATGTGATGTCAACTCTGTGAAGTATACAAGCAATATACAGTGATTCTCACTCTAAAGGGACAATTCCCATGTGCTCTTATGGTACTTCACGTGATCTAATCAAAACTATAAGTACTTAATCCAACTAATGTTTACAAATGTCACTTTTAGTGTCTTCAAAATCATATTCTATAAGTCACTAATTGGAAAAATGAGTTGTTTAATTGTTAACTTGAATCTATGTGACATTGGTAAACATGTCATAGTCTGTTGGATTAGTGTATAAAGAAAAAAATGACTCTCAAAGTATAACACACACACACACTGCATCATAGACAAACTTTATGGGAGACTTGAAAATCTTGACAAACTTTCAAGTACATCACAACAAGAAGAGAAGCCGCCTTGGTAACCTCGATTCTATTAGATCAGTCACCCCTGTCATGTTAGGAGCTGAGTTCTAGTGATTCTATGCTGGTGGCCCGAGACCTTCCCGAAGGCGGCGGTACAGAGTAGCCAAGAGGCGTGTCTCTATTGAGTGAAGCATATCTCTTATTGCCCTCAAGATGGGGTCTTCCATTGCGTGAAGGAGGGGTTCCACGTCTGGTGGTTCCACTACGTGTGTTTCCATACCGTGATTTCAGACTCTGTGTGTATATTTGACCTGTTTTACCTTCTCCATTTTTCCTGTTGAAGGTCAGAAGGTCAGGGAAGCATTGGGTCATCACATATTGAATCTTGAAGACTCTGCCAAGTACCTGTTTGTCCAAAGTTCTCTATACTTCGTGTAACTGATGCCCCTAACTAAGAGTCAATTTCACTTGCATAACATGCTCATATCCAAACTCATATCACATCATGCCACTTACTCAACTTGCAAATTGAAATATGTCTAAGTATTCTGTTTCTGAACATGAAAAAGAAATATGTAAAATTCCTACAAAGAAAAGTTTTCAGTTTTCTTTTGTTGTACATTTTTTTTCATGGTTACAAATATCTAATCAATACTAGATATGAAAACTGTAAGATGAAGGTAACTCAAACTACAATTTGCCATAAATTCTAAAATCATTTAAGACTCACAGGAATCTAGACACTGTGCATTCACTTAAAATACTCTGAAACACACGAACAATCCTGTAATACTTAAATTTAATCTTATAAAATCATCAGAAATCTACTTTTATAAAACTTTGAAAATCATGTCTTGAAATAAAAGAGATAATAATACCACACTGATAATACAGATTTTTGTTTTTCTGTAACATGCATATTCTCTTACATAGTTGATCTTAATCATTTAAAAAAATATATGAAATGTAATTTGAAAGTTGTCTCAAATAGAAATTAGCAATTATATTTTGTGAGAAAAAGTACAAAATTATCAGAGGAAAACATTACTTTTAATCTATGATCTATAACTGATAACACAAAATCTAATATTTTTATTGTATAATTTAATATTGTTTCCATTAATCTCAAAGATTAATTTTGGCAAAAAATGAAACATGCTTTTTTTTAACTCTTTTTCTTTCTAATAAGCATAACTGGTGAACATTACTTCTTTAGGTTGGATTTTGATAACTAACTTTGTCTAATTTGTCTGTCTTAAAGTTAAGGGAAGAAATGAATGATGAAAACCATTCCTCAAAATTAATGGATGTCCCTTTGCCTATTAAGACTTTTTGCCTTCTTTCTTCTAATAATGCAGGTCTTGAATTTCACAATTTAACCTGTGCAAATCTAACTGAATAAGTAATAATTAGGAATACATATATATTCCAAAGAGGGTGGAAGAGAACAATGAAGTGCTGCAGAGTGCTTAAAACAATTCCCTCAGATTCTTAAATGATTTTCAAAAGTTTTAAAATGAATAATGTATATCCAAGACATAAAAGAAACACCATCCATATAAAAGATTCATCCTTTTTTATGACCTTTCACAACACACTTATTCCCTCAATTCACTCTTTCAGTCTTTACCAATTGTAATCTCTACCTGGTATTCTTGGCACTTGTATGTGAGTTTGAGAGAGCCCAACGCAGAGCTCTCCTATCCTGGACATGATGATGGAGATCTAGCGTCTTCGACGTAGAGAGAATGGGGAAAGTTTGCATAGATAAAAACCACCACGAACATATTGGTACACTAAGTTTGTGTGTGA